TATATATATATATATATATATATATATATATATATATATATATATTCAACTACCGTAACTCCCGGGCTATTGAGTGCACACGAATATAAGCAAATTAAAAATAATAATAAATCATTTTGTACATATATAAGCTGCGGTGGTGCACGTTGTAACGTGACATTTACACAGAAAGATTTTTATAATTTTTTTTATTAAATACGTACCAGTAACATAAACAAATACAAACGGTAAATGTTGTTTTATTGGCTGGTAAAAAAAAAAGTAGCCTATCAGGAAATCATTGATCAATAGCTTCATATTCCTCCTGTGCAAGCTTGTGCTGTTCTCCTGCGGAACCAAGCGCCCTGCTTACCGAACCCCCACTCCCCCAACCCCATCAACAACTGGCAGTACTGATGTAGCGCGGGGCGCAATACTTACACGCTAGCAAAAATGCTACTGATTACCGCCCCGCTACTCCCCACCCCTCGACAATTACAAGCAGCAACGTAGCACTAAGCTAGAGGGCGGGCAACAAACGTGACTCCATCCCATCCCCTGTCGTGGATAAAAACAGGCAGCAACGTAGCGCTAAGCTAGCAGACGGGCAACGCAGACGTGACTCCCCAAAATATACTAGCGCCCCGCCAAAGGAGGTGATCTAGGGGAAACACTGTAAAGCTGTCATTTCTAACCCGAACCCGGAGTCCGGCCTCGCGTTGACCCGGATTCGGACCTGGTCAGGCCACAATAATGTGCGGGCCGGGTCGGTGTCGGTGTTTTTATTGCGTCAGGGACGCGCGGCCGACGATTCAATTATATGTCAACATGTCTTGCCATACAATCACCTGCTGCACGCAGCCATTTGACCACGCTCTGACCGGCCGGTTGAAAGAGGTAAAAAGTTCAGTTAGGCTTAAGATGGACTAGTGCCAGCGATCCATCAGCCCAAATGGACGTTCATTCAGCCTCTGCACTCAGCGGACGCACGCGGCCGACAAACCAAACAGATGAGATCCCAAAATATCCGACATATAACAGCAGGGACCGATGCAGGTAAAAGCAGGGGAAGCATTTTATGCGCTTTGATGGCTCCTCAGCTCCGATCTTCTGCCCCCTTTACTCAGCCGCGCGTGTCCGCCGACCATTAATAACAGTCGGTTGTATAAGCAGTCAAAGTCTAATTAAAAATGACGGAAGGGGGGTTTCGGGTTCGGACTTGTAATTACAGTGAATTCGTTGGATCGGGTGGGGTTCGGAGCTGATGGCTGTGAGCTGGGGCTGGGTAGAATTTTTTTGGGCCCGAGTGAGACTCTAAAACACTGTGCAGGTAGTCTCATTGCATCATGAGGACCCACTCCGCCAAGAGGGACGTGTATTGGGCAGCTATGTGAGCGCCCGGGTGTGACGAGGCTAAATGTTTGGGCAGCATAAAGCTCGTTAGCCCGTCCCTCCCAAAAAAACAATAAATTAGCCGCAGCATTGTAAAAGCCGCCAGGTTCAAAGACTGTGAAAAAAGTTGCGGCTTATAGTCTGGAAATTATGGCAGTCTCATAAAAGCCTTTACCAAAATAACATCTTGCAAGCAGCTCCCTAACCTGCACGTATTTTTCCTTCTTACCTTTTTAGTTTTTACATTTTAATATTGTGGATGTTTGTGCTAAAGCAGAGAAGCAATATTTAATACAATTTGGTGATAATTTTTTAACTTTTTAGTAAAAAGTTAGCTTTTTACCCATTTTTGGCTCACAAGTCCTCCCATGATTGTTTGACAGTACAAGTTTGATGATTTTTGAACATTTTACCACAGAATATTCAACTTAGTGTGATAACGCACAAAAATTCTACATTAATCTAAAGTTTTAGCATTTTTTATACAGTTTATACATAGAAACTTCTATCTTCTTTTACTCGAGGTGCCTCTCACTGATGTAGGACTTGCAGTTTTCTCTTAAATAACACCAAAACTCTCATTAACTTCCATTATATTAAATCTCAGAGTTTTATCTTCAACACCACAACAGGATAGTCTCGTTTTACCGGCTGTACCTTCTACATAAAACACCACAGCTTAATGTAAATAAACATACCGCCACCAGAAGTTTCTTTGAGCTCCTCTCCTCGCCCTGAGAGAAATCCTGACTCAGCAGGTGATTTGTTGTTTTATAATTCAATAAAAGCTGCACTCATCATTCCTGTAACTGAGTATTTGTGTCACAAATGACATTTATAAGCAGAATTTAGAGTTTAAAACTGAAAAGCAGGGCAGGGAGAGAGTTAGAGTTGCCTGTCGTAGCTTAGGGCTTCCCAACACTGGTCCTTGAGGGACACCATCCTGCACGTTTTAGTTTCTTTTCCTGCTTTGACACACCTGATTTGAATGAAAGGGTGATTAACAGGCTTCTGCAGAACTTAATGAAGGAATTAAATCACTGAATCAGGTGTGCTGGAACAGGGAAACGACTAAAACGTGCAGGATGGTGTTCCTCAAGGACCAGGGTTTGAAACCCTTAATTTTTGTTATTAATCTAAGTTCAGCCACTAGTTTCTGACCAAACTGTTTTGTTAAAAAATACTTGGAAAAAAGAAGAACGTCAATAAATGTAGAAAGCCAATCCAAAAATCAAATCTGGCCGATATAAAAGCAATATTTACACCCAGCTAAACAATGAGGTTGCAGTTTTTTCCCCTCCTACAATCATTTACGCGATAACATTAAACGTTGACCAAGACGACCGCCGAGTGACACAGAGTTTAGACATTTAACAGAAAACCCCTTTATGAGCGTTATGTAACAAGACAAGGTATCTTTACAGATTTGTTCTTTACAGCTGCGCTCAGGAGGTTGAAACTGAAGTTCAACATTCCAGGAGAGAAAGAAGTCGTTCAACACAGACGGACTTCCTGAACAGCAGTTAACCTTCGATGATAAGGCAGCACCTGCACCCTTTTATCAGTCCTCTCACTAAAACCACAGTCAGGATAATATTTTACTGCCACACCGACTTAAGACCACTTAAAGTTAAAACAACCGTGTGACTTCTAGGTGCTTTTATAACCGTAATTACAAAGCAGCGATAACGGTCCTTTACAGTTAGTCGACTTGAACTGAATCTTTACTGTATCTTGTTTGAAATACCTGAATCCTTCGAATGCTCACGCGGGTCTCAAAAAGCTTCTCGACAGCAGAGGGGAAGAATAGCGTGACGGTGAGGCGCACGGAGGTGTACAGCGACACGGTCACGAACACACGGCTGGCCGAGATGGGATTCCCCAGCAGCACGTAGAGCGTGAACGTGACGAAGAGGATGATCTTGCTGGCGCAGAAGAACGAGGCCATGTTGAGACCTCGGAGGTAGGAGCTCTTCATGATCTTGGAGATCTCCTTCCTGTAAAAGGATAGATGAAACATAACCACCGAGATAGAAATGCACTAGAAAGACAAACCACAGAGCTAACAAGGCTAGAATTTGTGCGGCCATCTTGGTAGGTTCTACGTGGTGTCCTGAGAGACAGCCAGTATGTCAGAGGATGATAAATACCTGAATGAAAAACCTAAACTCAACCAAGAAGTCCTATATTAATTTCTTAGGTTACATAATGTTTGTTTGTTTGCATAGCTCTGATGGGTGTCAGCAAGTTCAAATGAACACTACGCAGAGGAAATATGAGCGATTGTTTACGTTTTTACCTTCTGACCTCAGAGACCAGAGCAGCGAAGGGTTTCTCCCAGGCGTACATCTTGATGATCCTGATTCCTGAAACCACTTCGTTCATTGTGCGGATTCGGCTGTCTGTGAGAACGGCTGTCTTACTCCTGGAAACGAGAAAAAAAAAAAAACGAACATCAGAATCTACACCGGAAAATAAATTATAAAAGCACTTAACAAAAACAATAATTCCTGATCAAATCGCCATCAAAAATACTTCCCTCTGAAAATGGATCCTGGTCTTCATGACTGAAAGACCAGAACCCCTACACTGACTCCCCCAGCACTGTTTTCACTCCTCAGAAAGGACGTTCAGCAAACTGAGTTTAATAATCCGAGAGCCCTGTCCACATGAGATCACAGTCCTTCTAAAACGATCCGTTTCCTCCTAATCACGACACCGTTTCTGGAAACATTTTCATCCACACATAAACACTGGAAAAACTACCTTAACGCTGTAGTACCTCCACCAGGCCTGTGTGTGGCGCTGTAACTCTTTCACGAAAACAACAAAAACAAGAAACAAGACAAGGAGCAGCTGCTGCAAACAACTCAAAATGAACATGGGGGCTGAAACTGAATCGTTGTGTGGACTGACGACGTCAAACGTCTCCTTTGTGTCGCTGTAAACTACCGTTGACCGGGAGTCATGTTAGTTTAAATCTGTGAATCTTATTGACAATTTCTAGCACAGTATCTAGAGGGTAAATTATACACAAATCGTGTAAAACTATTCCTATTTTCCACATTTTTAAATGCACACTTGATACATACTGTAGCAGTGTTTCCCCTAGATCAGTTCACTTGGGAGGACACACTTCATATTTTATTTTTGTCATCCGGGAGTGGGGGTACAGGATGGAGTCAGGTCTGTGTTGCCTGCCTGTCAGCTTGGCGCTACGTTGCTGTCAGTTTTTAATCGGGGGGGTGGGGGGATGCAGAGCGGAGTGGTACGTCAGTAGCATTTTTGCTAACACGTTTGTATTACACCTCGCGCTACATCAACAGTTGTTGACAGGGCGCCTCGCTTTGATAATAGTAGTATACGTCTGCCACAATTGTTTTTTGAATTGTTGGCAGATCAACAAGGAGAGAAAAACATTTTCCGTATTAGATCACTTGGTAATAAGTGGGGGGGGGGGGGGGCTGCGCTACTTAAGAATTTTATTGTTCATCACACGTGTCTGTTCATTGACGTAATACGAGATACAAAGATTTATCGTAATTGAACATCTGGCATTCGCAACACAGTATGTTTGGGCTCATATGAGAGATTAGAGGAGGTTCTATGAAATAATTTTCAAAACATGTTTAGATTGTCAACCCCAGGGGTCTGCAACCTTTACAACCAAAAGAGCCATTTATTCCCCCTTTGTTCACAGTTGTAGCAGGTTGTTTTGACTCCAGACACATTAAATTTAGTGATCATCAACTGGTGGCCCGTGGACCACTTTAAGTTTGTTGGAGGGGGCTTTTCTGGCCAGTAGGGGTGAGTTTATAAAACTAAAAAATATAAAAAATTTGTTCCGATATGAGCGTTCATCTGCGGGGCTACATTAGAAATGTGTGGTAGTCCCTCACTTATCGCGGGGGTGTCTGTAACATCACCCCTGTGGTAAGTGAAAATCCGTCAAGTAGGGACGTTATATTTATTTTAGCGTTTATATATATTTAAGGTATTATAAACCCTTCCCACACTCTTGCAACGTTCTGGACAACGTTCTAATCTCTCTATACGTTCTAAAAGAGCACAACAAAAGAGAGCAGATAGACTATGGTTACTGAGCCAATCTGTGCTGCAGGGTAGACTGGCCATCGGGCGCACCGGGATATTTCCCGGTGGCCTGGCCTGCTCAGTGATCACTTAGGGGGACTAAAGGCTCGGTTCTGGTCACGCTTAATTATTTTAAATAAACAATCCACGCGCTTGGGTTAGTGTGTCGTGTACAATCTTACATTGAAAACCCGCAAAAGAGTGAGTCCGCGAAAGTCGAACCATGAAGAATCGAGGGACTGCTGCAGGGATACTCATTGCGTGGCTCCCGAGCCACATGCGACTCACCATGCTTTATTGGTGGCTCTCGTGACAGGTTACAACAATACGCCAGCACAGCCAATACATTTTTAAAACGTGCCGGCGTATTGCGCAATAATTGCGCACGTCGGCTCGGGCTTCTTTGATGTGGTTTTACGAATAATATTGAGTTAATCTACTTGTTGAGGAGGAGGCAGGACCGACCGGCCAGTAGAGGTAAAAAAAAAAGAAAAAAAAAAAGGGTCCTGTTAATCTTAGATGGATCAGCTGATCACCGGCCGCGAGCGTCTCTGCACCTGTTGTTATCTGCGGTGAAGGAAGTAGGAGCATTTAAGGCAGGGCCGGTTCTAGGCATGGTTACATGAGGGGGCAGATGGAAATGTGAAGGGGGGGATCTTCATCCGTACACATATGACAGCATATTCATTGTTGAGCATGGACTTTGGTATTCATTGTTATTGACTTGTGTTTTCTTCATGGGATTGGGGTAATAGCTAAAAGCCGATTTTTTTTTTTTTTTTTTACATTTGTGAGTCAACATTTTCAACCATGAACACTACCAAGCAAAAACAGAGAAACTGACTGACCCATCCTGAATGCCTCACTGTGGTTCAAAAACAAATTACAAATACAACATGAAGAAAGTCAAGGACATGCACCACAGCGTCTCATCTCAGTACTAAGGTACATTTTGTTTAAACAGATAATGTGCTGGCTGCGTTTCTTTTTTGTTCATGGGTGGGTTGTTTAATTTCTTTCTATTTGAGTGACTTGTGGTGAGATCGTGGCTCTCCTCTCGACTTTGATCTGTCTTTCGAAAAAAAATAGTGAGGATCACTGGACTACTATATAAATATTTGAGAAATTAGATCCAGATCAAAAAATCCTCTCCTGACTTCAGGTTTCATGAAGTAGTCGGGTCATTTGGACAGTTTTTTTTTTTTTTTAATGAGCATGAACTTTGATGTCTTGAACCACTTTAGCTGTGGCTGCCTGGGAGGAGTCGACGGGGTAGAGGGCGGCCCCCAGAAACCATCTTTTCACCAGTAAACTGGTTGGTCCACTATGGGAGTGAGAGGTTTGGTGGGGAAACAGTTTGTTTGTGACAACTCAGATTGATGAAGTCCTTCGGATGAAGGACGAAACGTCTCTAAACAAAAAAAAAAGAAACTGTCCAGATGACCTGACTGAAGGGGCTTCAGGTGGGCGAAGACCGATTGAAACGCAGGGTTTTATTTCAGGAAAGCTGCCAGAGAGCAGGTTTGATTGACATCGTTACCATGGTGATACAAGTTTCTCTTTCCACAATGGAAAACAGGAGGTTATCAAGTTAGTTGACCTTAAGTTTAGTAAAGCTCTGTCTGGAATACCCCCCTGGACGTATGACTGCACCACAACGCACAGCCCAGACCACATCATGGTCTGCTTATGACAGAACCTGGATCAACCTGATCAGCAAGAACGATGAATCAGCATTCATAGAGGAAATACAACAGCTGACAAACCGGCTGATGCAAAGTCAACATCCTCTCTCTTAACGTGGACAAAACTACACCCGTGGTCAGACAACAGAGTGTCCACGCTTCACTGACAATCCTGTGGAGGATGGAAGAGATCTTTCTTGGTCCTTTCACATCTGTTCCGTAACGAAAGCAGCCCGACATCGTCTCAACTTTCTGCAGGGACTGAGGAAATCTCATCCCCCAGCTACCACTGTCACCACGTTTTACAGAGAACTATTGAATCATCTAGAGCTGCTGTGGGAAGTGAATCACATCAGGCTACATTTGTTAAAACAGCTGAAAAGAACGACTTCTATTTCAGATCCCTATTATAAAGATAATGTTCATTTACCATCGTCTTGAAGTGTCTGCACTCAAATGGATTGCAGGTTTACTTGTGGTTCCTAGAGTTTCTAAAAGTAGACTGGGAGGCAACTTCCAGTTTCTGTCCATGAGGCTGACACACACATTGTCCAGTTTTAAGATTAGACTTAAGTCTTTCCTTTTTGACAAATCCTATAGTTAGGGGTTGGGTTTCCTGAGCTATCCCTTAGTTATGCTGCTGTAGGTGTAGACTGCAGGAGGACAAATTGACCACATTTCCTCACTCTACTACTGTCTTTACTTGCTTTACTCTACCTGTTTGTATTTGTAATTATTTCTATCTTAACACATTTTTCTCTTTCCTCCTATAGGAAGTACATCTGGACCTGCCATTCTGTATTTGTCTGTTTTCTACTTCCTGTCCTCAAACCCAGACTGGTGATAGACAAAGCTTTTCCTTAGTTTACACATTTCCCAGGAGAAATTGATAAGTCAGCCTGTTTCAAGGCCAACCGGGGAGTCAGATTCAGATAAGCCACAATTGCTGATTTATTTTTTCTCGTCAGCCTTGAGTCGGTACTGGTACTTTCAAGATCTGAAATGGCCAGATTAGGGTGCATTCTACTGGTCCGTGCTTACGAGCCTCTTCAAGGTCGTTTTCATGCTGGCGAGTCCCAAAGCCGCAGGTGTCCTGCGATTCAAATCACTTCCAACTTATGGTTTAGCTCGTAAATCAGCTGATTTTGAGTCCTCAAAGCACGAACCAAACCTTCACATAGGCAGCAGCCTGACCAGGCCAAATTAGCTGCGGCCGTCTTCTTTGTATGTTGATAAACCAGGATCCGAACTATTCCAAAAACAGGAAGCCTGTTATCATAAATCAAATTATATACAATTTCGGCGTCCTCGATCAGCAGCAAAGGTAGACACATCACATTCAACTTCCCCAGAGATATATCCAGCTGCATGCGTGTCGTCCGAGCAGATGAGGGTTCTCCAGGACCCTGTCGCTTTTTTGAAAAGATTTTGTCATTTGCGTCAAAAGTCCAGTTGGTCAGATCCAAAACAGTAGTGTTCATTTCGGAAGATGTGTAAAAATAGGGGCTGCTCCGATACACAGACAGAGCAGAAAAAAAGCAGGAGGAGAACAGGGAGCGGGGAGAGAACATGTGCGCTTTATGACTTGGCCTTATAGAAATAAACTGAATTGAATTGAATGCAAATGACCTTTGAGCTTGTCTGTTAAAATCTGTATTTTTTTGTCTTGTCAGCATGTTATACAATAAATGCCTTTTTTGGCTTTAGGCTCTTCGACACAGAGGTTTTGTTTTTATACAAACAGGTAAGAAGCTCAAAGAAACAAGTAAACAAGTGCAAGTAATCCAATGAGCTCAGAACTTAATATAACCACAGCACTGTGTGTGGAGTACAACAATGGAAATACTGCATCAGTATAAAAAAAACAACAAGGTCTAAGACAGTGGTTTCAGCTTCTTGGTGTGTTTTACCTGAACTTAGAGAACAGACGCCCAAACATGGTTTGCGTGGGCATCAGGATCAAGAGGACCACCATTCCTGCCAGGCAGGACGGACCGATCTCCTCCCATAGCAGACCAACAACGGCAGCTGCCTGAAGGGGTCCCACCCACAGGAAGTGCAGGAAAATAGTTACCTAAAGACAAGAGAAAACCAGAATCACAACCCAAGCAGACATCTCGAACAACGAGAACTCCTCAGAAACCTGCGAAGACGGATTAAACATCAGCAGCCGTAAAACTCAGGGCTCTGCAGGAGCTCAGCAAACTGCCCCCCCGCTTATTAAAATGAAACTCAACATTCCAGAGAAGCAGGATTTGGTGCTCAGGGTGTAAATGGGCCTTAACCGAATACAGGAAAGAGACTTAACGCAGTTTTGTAAGGAACAGACTCGAGACGCAAGCAGCAGAAATGCACTTTTAAACCAGTGCTTCCAAATATCATCGTTATGAGTCATGATCCAAACATTACGACCATGTGTGTGGGTTGGAACATAAACAAATGAATCAATTCAGAGCTTTGCCTTTCCACGTCTTTCTTCACCACGAATGACTGAAGCAACTCCCTCATTACTGAGGATGAGGCCCCGATCCGTCAGTCCATCTTCCTGCTCCATCCTACCATCACTTGTAAATAGGCCTGTCACGATAACAAAAATTGCTGGGCGATTAATTGTCTCAGAAATTATTGCGATAAACGATAATATTGTTTGAAATTTGTCAATAATTAGTAACTGTCAAATTTAAGAAGAAACGGTTAATTTTTGAGTGTAGTACCTTTTTTGGCCAACAGATGTCAGTATAAGACTGTTTGAACTGAAGGATGAATAGTGAGGGAGCGAGCAGCGTGTCTCTTTAAGAAAAACGGGAGGGAGGCCCCTTGACGTGACATGGGCTGTCTCTCCTGTTTTTCGGTTCTCAAAATGGCGGACGCTCGGTGTGGTTTGAGCTCTTTAGCATAGCGTTTTTCACACAAAGCTTTTAATTAAAAAGCACATATCAGTAAACAAGTTCTGAGCTTCGTTTTGCAGAGAAAAACAACCTTTTAGACGAAGGCACGGGTTTCAACTGTGAATTTTGGAGTTTCGACAAGACGAATAAAGAATAAAAGCATAATTATTTCATCCAACAGAACCCCCAGCATTAACTTCTCCAACACAAGTGTTCAGATAGAAGTTTAGGTTTCACACTTAAATCAAACAAGTCATAGATTATTAGAAATACATTTTTTGAAGTGATTAGAAAATGTTGCTTTTTTATTTTTGGGTCCACATAAGGACTTCTCTTTAGAAAGCCGCCATCGTTCAAGTTAGCCTTCAGGTTTTCAGTCCTGGTCTGATCCTGCAGCATAAATATTTCCCCTAAATCTCATTTTCTCGTACCTCATCAAACCTGTTGACATCATTGGAAAGTAGGTTGACTATCTGACCTGTGGTGGTCTTTCCCATGGCTGAACTGCTCAGACACAGCGCCTGAAATAAAATTTAACAAAGTCACTTCTTCAGTAAGTTTAATTTTCAAATTGCTTCCGTTGTCTGCGACTCGCTGACCTTCTTGTAGATCATGTGACACATGGCCACTCTGATCTTCATGCCTGCCCTCTGAACGTGGTAGAAGTAGAGGTGATGGAGCACAGCCAGGCAGATGGCGCAGAAGGACATCCCGGCTGCGTAGCCCAGCGTCTCGTAAAAAGCAGTTTCATCAACTGAGCCGTAACTCTCAAAGTACCGGATCACCTGACCCAAGATAACTGGCTGCACCACTTTAATGGTCTCCTACAGGAGAAGAAGAGCAAAAATCATTTTAGAACCAAGAATCAGACTAGTTCAGGTTTGGAAACAAGACAAAACATGTTGATCACCTGTGGTAGCACTTTTAAATTCTTTATTTAAAGAAAGAACGAAAAAAGAAAGAATGAAAGGTAAGAAAGAACTTAAGAAGGTAAAAACGAATGACAGAAACAAGACAGAAAGTTAGAACCAGACAAAAAGAAAGAACCAGACAGAAAGAAATAACCAGACAGACAAACAGACAGAAAGAAAGAATGAACCAGACAGAAAGAAAGAACCAGACAGACAGACAAACAGACAGAAAGAAAGAACCAGACAGAAAGAAAGAACCAGACAGACAAACAGATAGAAAGAAAAAAAGAACCAGACA